TGAGGGGTGGGAGATCCCAATATGATTTCTCCATTTCCGCATTCTCAAAATTGCGTTGCTTTTTTATACGATACAGAATAAGTCAAGCAAATATGAGAAGAAATAGTCATTAAAATATCTAGGCTAATTCCATTTTTCCCATATCTACATTTGTTTCAACGATACTTTACAAATGAAGTTCCTCAAGTAAATCATCGTTTTCCTCGGTCGAGACGTATTTAGCCAGTTTCAGCTTCGAGCATTTAACATGTACCTCCCCCCTCTCTTGCCTACCACTGCCCCCTGGTTCACCGTTCAATGATATAATTCATAAATATCAGTTTCGATTTTAATATCAGTTAATAATATCAGTTTTGGTTTGTGGAATTTACGTGGTGTTTCTACAAACCAAACTTGATAATATTAAAATTTCTTTGCAAGTTATACATTGCCGGAAGTTAAGACAGTCCGTTTTTTTCAGATTAATGTTAGCTAAATACATTTCAGCATGTCGTTTTTAAGATAATCCGCCAGGTGTTTTATTTCTGATATTATCTTTGCAACCACATACCTTAATATTGGAGACGAACAGCGTGACAACGTTTGGTGGTACATCACTACGTATATCAAAGCTATAAAATCACACTCAACACAGACCAAATCAATGTGGTTAATTGCGTGTAATAATTTATTAAATTAGTGTAGGTAATAGCATGGTTTCGAGTGCAATTTGGATATAACATGCACGAGCGAGTTTTTCAAAGACCTCAAAATAGCACGAGTCCGAAGGAAGAGTGTTATTTGAGGTCTTTGAAAAACTCACGAGTGCATGTTTATACAAATTTCACGAGAAATCACGCTATTACTTATCAATAATTCACATAAAAATGTTCGAGACAATTCTAGTTTTAACTCACATTTATAGCGAACATTCCACTGGAAAAGTTTTCCTGGCTTTGTTATATCACATTATACAACGCTAACAGCTTGAAAATTCCACTCAACTATGCAAGTTTTGTTAATCGTGTTTAAAGAAAAGGTTTTTCCATTTAAAAAAAGATAAAAGCCATTTTTTGCAACCGAAATCAACTTTTACTTTATGTAGCGCGGCCTCATGTTTGTTTTGTTTTGAAGCAATCTGTGACCGTCACTTCTTTAAACTAAACTGCTTTAAACTGGTTGGTTGATTTTATCATCACGATGTTTTCCCACCAATCAGATCAGTTTGTTACAGATTTTTGCACTGTGATTACAAAAAAATTGCACTGTGCTTACAGAAAATTGCACTGCTGTTTGAAATTAATTACACTGAAATCAACTAACCACAGTCCAGTAATATTTTTATGTATATTATTAAGTGTAGAAATAAACTGCGTACTGAGGTAGTTATATTACTAAAATTACGGAGGCTTGCTCCTTCGCAAAAAAATGTCATAATTTTGCATTCAGAATTACGACCATATTCCTATACCTATCATTGTTGAACTGTCAAACTGTTATTAACTAATGTCAGTGAAAATCGCCATTCTCTAAATAGAGAGGCTTACTACCACTACAGCTATCTCTCGCAGGCTTAATGCGCATTTGAATGGTTAATCGGTATTAGGAATGCATGCAGTCACATTTCTGAACATTTTGGCGCAAAACTATGACTTTTTTAGGCGGGAAGAAGCATCTGCAGTTTTGGTATATAGTTTACACTCAGTCAATTTGTACGCTCTTATATAGTGCTGGAAACTACACTGTAATTGCTCAAAATAACTGCAATGCAACGATTGCCAACATGATATTTTTTACTTTACACCAAATCAGTGTATAACAACAGGTTTTCGTGAACAACACGACACACGAATACACACACCCAACATTCGCGCCCCTGCCTGCTAGTGTGAAATAGGCGGCAAGGACACTCCTTATGGTGTAACATTTTGCAACAAAGACATAACACTGTGCCAGTGCAACTGTTACGGTTTTTAGTGTTGCATATGCACCGCGAGATTTTTAACAATTTTGTGCTGTGCTGTGCTGTACTGCACTGCACTGCACTGCACTGCACTGCACTGCACTGCACTGCACTGCACTGCACTGCACTGCACTGCACTGCACTGCACTGCACTGTATCAGTACTGTATCAGTACTGTATCAGTACTGTATCAGTACTGTATCAGTACTGTATCAGTACTGTATCAGTACTGTATCAGTACTGTATCAGTACTGTATCAGTCTGTATCAGTACTGTATCAGTACTGTATCAGTACTGTATCAGTACTGTATCAGTACTGTATCAGTACTGTATCAGTATTGTACTGCACTGCACTGCACTGCACTGCACTGCACTGCACTGCACTGCACTGCACTGCACTGCACTGCACTGCACTGCACTGCACTGCACTGCACTGCACTGCACTGCACTGTATCAGTATTGTACTGTACTGTTCTTTCTTTACTGTCAGTACTTGCATGATCACATATAGTATTGCTTACCTTACCGTTCAAGTTAAACGGTAGACAAGTCTTAAATTTCTTACAAATTGTAAGGATGAGTCAACTAATTCAATTAGATGTACAATACTTTACTAATCGTCTTATATAAGTAAAGTATTTACTTGTTTGTATAAATTTTTGTAGTTTGATTTATTGTCGCAAATCTTTATAGTCAATGGTTTTGATGACAAGATTTTCATCCAATATAAATAGCTATATTTACCTGTATATTTTACCAAGGTTTTAACACCGCTGCTCCATTCTGTCGAGTAGTACGAGTCCTAAATAAAATATAACAACCTACGTTATTATAGCAAAAGGAAATACTATTGGATGTAAAAATATCGATACTTCAATTATACAACAGGGTCTTGTTTACCTTTATAATTGGGTAAGGGCAAGGCCGCTCCAGGTCCTATCGTACATCCACCACCCAGGCCCTAAATCAAAGTCCGCGCAAAACTGGAAGAAAACTGATGAAATTCAGAGGGGAGGTCTGATATTCTAGTAATTGAAATTTGTTGGAAGGCTATATGCTACAAGTTAGTGACTGAGTTGTGGTATTTATGTTAACAAGCTATAGTTAGGGTTCTTGTGTATCTTACAAGCGTTGTTATTAAATACATGCCAAGTGCAGTAAGATTGTATAAAAAACCCTTTAGGATCAAAACGTTTATCATGTGTCAGTTCGTGATGGAGACAGATAAACATTTACACACACATTGGTATTTGACGCCCAAGGTCATACTGATAAGGTACTCAGGCACGTGAGTGTAGGATTGCACGTCCACAAAAAGGTTTCCTGCGGAGTTAAATACGCAAGTTAATTGAAGTTACATATTGGTGCGCAGTTAAGACTTCGTCACCATCTTACCTTGACGTTTTCTGTTTATAATACAGCATAAATCGTAAAACTAAGTTCATGATCATGCGCTTATAATTTGAACGTTTTCCTCTAACACAATGTTAAATTAAGTATTGCCTCAACGAGCATATAATTGGATTGAGAAGTGCGACAACGCGTTAATTAAGCAGATGTGAGCTGGGACGAGGGTTCAACAGTACACCACCTGAACGCTGATTAGTTCGTTCAACATCATGCACCCCACATTTTCGGTCACATGCCCAAAGTTCCCCTCGACCATGAGCATAAAATAATTTGCCCAGCCCAACTCTATTCATTGGACGTAGACCGAGTAAACATTACAATACTTGACCAGTTTCTTGACCAAGAAGAAACAGAGGAGAACGTTATAAAAACATTATCGAACTTTAGTATATAATGTTATGTTGTAACGATTCCGTTCCTCCGATCCCGCAAATGAACTAGTACTATAACTTTTACATAAACATACCATGCAAGTACTTCGCTGATGATTCAGTCTAATGCCGTATAATGTAACGAGTAACGATGTATATCCAAACATCTGTTTCAGAAAACGGACGAAATGGTGGGAAAAATACAAAAATCGTCTCAGCAAGAATACCGAGACCCTACTGTTACATACGAGACTACACCGAAGGTTTTATCATCAACGTTAACCATCTGTCATCTCTCTACAATCGGTATAATATGGTCCCTTTTTGCAGAGACACCCCAACCCCCAAAAGAATTATTAAAAAAGGCCCTGTTGCGGAGGGGAAAAGTGAAAAACATTCAGAATCCAGAAAAATAGTTAATGTGATGAGCAGCCAAACCGTTTCTTTGTTTTTGCTTCACAACAAAAGTTCAGGGGCAATAGGTAAGTTTGTTTTAAATAGTGATATATTGTTTCCTTAATATAAGGGACAGGTCATTATTTAAGGAAGGGGGAGGGCAAAAATAAGGGGGAGGGGGAATATGCATAAATAAAATGACCTCAGGAGGGGGCTATTAATTTTTTTCACGAAAATGAGGTGAGGGTTGCAATTAAATTTGAAGGAATCTGCTTAATAAGCCTGGTATCCATTTGGTTGTAAAGGTTGCGACTAATCATGGTCACTGATGTGAAATAGTCTGGATTTATCTTGTCTTTTGTGTGCTGTATGCAAATCAGAGATAAATTGACAATGTATTATTACATCAGCTATCTTGACATGGTTACAATCGCCCAGACCCAATGGAATTAAACCTAATTTTTAGTGTTATATATAAAAATACTCCTCAGCTCTTTTAATTATAATTTTCTGTTAATATATATTTTTGATTGACGTTAATATCGTATTAGTTCCATATTCTTATTTAATAATTAACACTATAATGCCTGGGAATCTCCATTTGACGAGTAAAAATGAAAATGGGGGGGGGGTCAAAGAAAAATATTCTAATATGCGGGGGTCACCATTAAATTTCTGCTCTCTTAAGGGAGGCTTTCAATTTTAAAAATTTGGGAAAGAAAATATTCCCTTCCCACTTCCATAAATAATGACCGGTCCCTAACTGTTTAAAAAAATGTTGCATATAGTGAAAACAGACAGCGTATTAAGTACTGTTTAATAAACGAGTAGGAGTGTTTTATCACATATAAAACACGACGCGTAGCGGAGTGTTTTATATGTCGTCAGCTGAGGGTTAACAAGGTCTATCTGCTCTTTAACTAGTTCAGAGAAATAGGCAAATGAAAGTTTGTATGCTCACAAAAGGAATAGAATACAATTTAATTTCAAAATGTTTTGATCTACTACATACTATACACTAGGTTGTTTAATTACAGTTATTTGTGCATTGCTACCCAGCATGAATTATGGGAAATAGCGATCCTACTTTTGGAGATAGACCTTTGTGACTCTGAATTTTTTGAAAAATTAGAGTTACAAAGGTCTATCTAAAATTAGTTAATTCTGAATGTTTAAAATTTTACCTCCAAGATTATTTTAACAAGTCTGCGCTCATTTCAACATTGGAAACATCAATTCAAAGTTTGATAATCTACTATTCCATTGATTTCCTGGGTAGTTTCGGTACAAATCTTACTACATTCTAAAACTATGAGGATTATAAATATATTAATAATCTAAAAAAAGGTTGATTAGTTTCTATTTAGCTCTAATTTATACATAATTATATATATTTAAAAAAATCAGTTAAAAAATCAGTTGGCAGAGCAATGGGCTAGTATTCCAAAGGTCGTAGGTTCGATTCCCACCGTGGCCAGGCATATTTTTCAACCTTGCCCGGTGTGGATATACACTCAGAGTAACATCACAAGCATCATATTCACCTGAGTACATTACATTTACACCAACACATTATTACAAGATTACATTGATATCAAAGGAACTAGATTCTGTTCCGAAATATCACATACTCGAACCGAGCTGACCACATAGCTCAGTTGGCAGAGCAATGGGCTAGTATTCCAAAGGTCGTAGGTTCGATTCCCACCGTGGCCAGGCATATTTTTTCAACCTTGCC